TATATATATATATGTAGAATTAAATTAAAATTCAATTTAAAAATATTTTTTATCGAGAAAAATTATTATCGAGGCAATATACTTTCAATGTTTACAAAACAATGACGATAACACTCGCTAGATGATTTTATTAACGAGAAAGTCTAGAATTAAGACAACCGCCTCCGCAACGTTATTGCTTTAATCAAGAAACCTTTTGTTCCTTGCTTCTAATTAGTCCGATAGAGATCCCGTGATTATAGGCTGTGTGACAATCTCACCGCGGAAGAAACATATGTATATGTGTGTGTAAATGTAAGTGTGTGTATATATATATATATATGTATCAATGTATAAATATGCAAAGTATTCATAATGCGAAGTGTCGTTTTTATGAGACAATTGAATACATAAAATTACCAAAAATTCAAAAAAAAACACATCGTATACAACAATTAGTTTTTCAATTAGCATCTCTAAATACAATCTGACGAATGTAAATCTGTGAGCGGAAAATCCCTTTTAACAGATCACTTATGTCGAGTTGATCTATAAGTTGCAATTAGCGGTGCGAAAATCGCTCTATGAATCAATGCCATCTCTCTCTCTCTCTCTCTCTCTCAATATAAATCTTTCAAATATATATAGTTTCTCATATTTATATGATCTTTCTCTCTCTCTCTCTCCCTCCCCCCTTTCTCTCTTTCACTCTCCTTTTTCTTTCCTATACTTTACTTCCTCCTTTCTCTCTCGCTTCTTTCTTTCTTTTCTCCCCCCTTTCTGATATATATATATATATATATATATATATATACAGATAGAGATCCCGTGATTATAGGCTGTGTGACAATCTCACCGCGGAAGAAACATATGTATATGTGTGTGTAAATGTAAGTGTGTGTATATATATATATATATGTATCAATGTATAAATATGCAAAGTATTCATAATGCGAAGTGTCGTTTTTATGAGACAATTGAATACATAAAATTACCAAAAATTCAAAAAAAAACACATCGTATACAACAATTAGTTTTTCAATTAGCATCTCTAAATACAATCTGACGAATGTAAATCTGTGAGCGGAAAATCCCTTTTAACAGATCACTTATGTCGAGTTGATCTATAAGTTGCAATTAGCGGTGCGAAAATCGCTCTATGAATCAATGCCATTCATTTCCCACGTAAGCGCCGATAACGCTCTTGCATATACGCTATGAAAAAAGATCTTTTTCTCGTATGCCCACCAGTAAGAAAGGCTTCCACGGTTGTCCCGCTATCCTCACCATCGATATAACGATAGCGCATGTAGAGCAGCATTGCGCTTTATTCAGATAGAAGTAAAGCGTCGCGCGTAGTTAAAATAAAAAATATAATGCATTTTTATTGATTTGCAAATCAAGAACTAAAAATTAATTAATTATTTAAAATTGATAACATTACATATTACCTTTTTTTTAAATATAATGCAATATTATTAGTTTTCCAATTTTTTAATCAAATTATCTCGAAAACAATATATGTGAACAACACACACGTTCAAAAAACGTTCCGAGGATGTAAAACATCCTCTGGATGTTCTCTGGACGTCTTTTGAACATGTGTGTTGTTAGGGATAAAATTATATGCCATATTTTGACATTATCTTCGCAATCAATTGTCAAAAATAAAAGTTTAAATGCATAATCAGACATCTCAAGCAAGCTTCGCTTAAAAATTCCCTTTATTGGCTATTTTTTCAGTGCGCAAATACATTGAATCGTTTGTGGAATGTGCGTAGTTTATCAGCCATTCGTCACTAGCATAAATTCCGCAATATTTTTGGGATAATATCGATCCCCCCCCCACCTCCACCGAATCTTATACACCGTGTATGATCGAAATAATAAATGCAGGATTGCATAGATTTATTATTATAATAAACGCTAAATTGCATTTATTATATAATTTAAATACGCGTTATATTACATAATAGTAACTCGTCAAATATTCCAGACTCTCGTAAATAAAATTTGATTTTTTTTTTTCAAAAATAAAACTCCCTACTAACTTTTTAAATAACAAACTTGCAAAAAATAAACTATTATGTTAAATTAAAAAGTTGCAAAATATCACAATCACACTTATAATTTTTCTATTCTACTTTTATTCTCCATCTACTGTGACTTTTTATGACTTAGCAGCTAAGGTAAGAAAACGTTTTGAAGAAAGTTAGCTTACTTATTGTTCCTGAAGCAACTGATCGCAGAACAAATATAGAAGAACGTAGTAGATCCACACCCAACAACGGTACGCACGCGACTGACGAGATTCGAGACTTTCTGGGATCGAGCTAAACATCGTATTGTAAAATATACGAAGCAGAGTGGGAGACGAAACTGTTTTGCATGTACATGTAGATGCAGCTGTTTTAAGATATTGGCAATGTAATTCTAAATGCATGATATCAAACTGATATAAACAATCAATTAATGATCGATTTTGCCTCGAAATTTACAATTTGAAATAAATTTGTCTCTTCTTTCAGAAATGCATTTGTAATTTACAACTCTAAGGCAATAAATACACATTTTTCATTTCTCCATGATGTCAGAAATTTAAACTTATACTTATACAAAAGTTTCGATAATGAACAGACCAAATTAAATATAGTTTTTCTATTGACATCGGTTTTTCATTACGTGTATAAGAAATATGTTAGCTTATAGTCACCCATTTAAAGGGATTGAAAAAAAAGATTATGTGTGTATCACACAACACGTACAATATATTTTATAATTTTTAAGAAAATGCGAAAATACGTATTCGCATACTGCAAATTCTTAATAAATTTAGACTTGAACACGTGGCTAATGAGTCCGCGTGATAATCCATCCTTGACCCGCTAGATTCACATACACACACATACACACTGTCGGCTGAGTTACTTTAATCGCGCGAAAGCACGATAATTTTCTAGGCACATCATATGAAGAAGCACTTTACTATATTAATCTTTCCCATAAAAAAATTATATTTATCTTTTATATATGTGATATTTTAGAAAAACTATTTTTTGGATAAAAACCTAACATATATTTGTATTGACTTAAATAACAAAACAAGTTCTCAACGATTCTTTGATATCTACATACTTGACTAGAAGGAATATTAGGATTTAGGATTGTCTATTAAAAGAGTGAAATATGAACGTAGAAATTGTAAAAAAGCTTAAAAATATAATTTTTTTATTCGATGTACCTTAAAAAACATGTTGTACAAATTTATATATCATTTCTTAATAAAATTATATGTAAACTGGATGACTCACTGATAATAGAGATATAATAAGCAATCGAATATCTTAATCTTTTCATCTCATACAAATCTTGTTTATATAATTTAATATAAAAAATAATATTATAAATTCAATTTTTTAAATATATTATTACCAAATTAACAATAAAAGATAATCACTTACTAAAGTAAGAAAAAAGTAGAATGATATATTATATATATAATATAATATATATAATTTATAAAATAGCTTTGTGATTAAAATCAGTAAAATAAAGTCATATTACATATATATGCTCCTCCTCAATTATTTTATATTCATTATATTACTATTTACAGCATTTAAAATTCATAAAATAAATCAAACTTATCGTAAATTCATTCCATTTTTTTATATAAATAAATGATTAAACTGAAATATTTTAAACTTGTATGCAAACAGTAATCTGTTTAAAAGATTAGTAATCATAAATTATGCATAAAATATGTGCGTATATACACACACATTATACATACATACATACACACAAGAAATTTTATTTAAGAAATTAATCACATTGAAAAAATACATTCTTTTATTCAAAGTTGTACCTCTTTAGCTGAATTTAGAAATTTTTTAAACTTAATTAATTTATAATGAATATGGTGACGGTTGTCTCAATGCAAGTTATTACATATACCATTAAATAAAAAAGTTATAATTTTAATTGTTTTTGATTTCTTTAAAAAATTCCTTAAATAATCCCTTCATTTTTAGCATATTTAAACATATATCTTATGAGATTGATCAGTCATAATTGTGATGAGCAGTTAATAAATCATCAAATTAATATATTTTATCTGTCAGAGTTTTGAGCATATAATCATTAAGATATATTATTCTATACCACAGTATCTTGTTTATTTCTAATACCAATAAAATATTTTATTTTTATCTACAATATTTTTATTTTACGAAATAAAGAGGAAGCGGATGGATAAAAATTTATTTATTTAAAATTATTACCAACTGCAATCGATTTTAAAGAGGCAGAAGCAATCATTCACTCGAGGGTTCGAAAGAAAATAATATGCTCCAGTTTTCTTTAAGGATGACATATTAAAACATTAGGAAAAACTGTAAAAATTTGATAGACGATTCTGTTTCATCTGGATATCCGTTCAAAACCTGAATACATAATTTTTATATTTTATTAGTTTAATACCATTTTTAAGAGGCTCCTGTTTTTTCGTTGCAGTCATATTAAATTATGACTTCATAAGGAAAAAAATCACATAAAACTTGGAGCCTTATATAATATAATATGTGTTATACTTAATAATATTAAATTACACTTACAAAAACAAACCATTATTTTAGCTTAATTGTACCGAAATATAATCAAAGATTTGTTATAATAAAATTAAGATTTTATTGATACTTCTTCCTTTTCTTCAATTTAAATCTCTTATAAAATAAATCTTAAAGTGGTATCTCTCTTTTAATACAATAGAAAAATGTATGTCATGATAGGTTTGTTTGTTTTGCTTGCACTTTACGCTCAGATTCTTTGCTCTTTTTTTCTTTTCAACACTCAAATATATTTATATATCTCGTTTCAAATACAGAAAATTCTAGAGAGTGCGAGCAAAATAAACGCATCTTATAATTAAGAAAAATGGAAGCACATAAGTCATGTACAGGGAAGCTTATATTATTGCGTCACACTATACATATGCTCGAGTATGTATGTGTGTGCACATGACAATAGAAATGTCTTAACACACGAATTTATGCACATATCGGCACATATATAATGTATATATGGAATATGTGTCAATATGTGCATAAATTCGTGTGTTAAAGCATTTCTGTTGTCGAGCAATCATGACATAACATTGATCCAAAAATACATTTAGCGATAGACACCCATTGAATCGACAAAGAGCCAAAGGTTTGAGATTATACGCCAAATACTTTCTTATAACAAGATAATCGTCGCATGTAATTTTTTTTTTTTTTCTCCTAAGTAATTGCTCTAGTTTATTTACAAGATTTTACATGAAACTGGACGAAAGACTTGAGAGTTCTTACATAGTAATTATACTTACAATTTACGATGCTTCGTGATAATCAAATCTGAGCGATTTACAAAGAGTAAAATTTTCTAGGCTTCTGGTGCTTTGTGATTTAAAAATTGTGAATATATATATTTATTTATCAGTTTACATGCCGCTTCATATATCTTTTAAATCCAATCAGTAGTCTCTGATCCTTCTGATAAAAATAAACATTCAAATTTTGTTTAGCATGCACAAAAATACGTTATTTTCAATATCATTTTTTTTTTCAACCGCCGCTGAAAGGGCCACTATCTTTGTTTTGCACGTCTTCAACTTTGCGTAATATATATCGTAGTAACGAGAATCTTTAACGTATAGTCCTTACTGGATAAGCTTTGAATGAGCTTTGCATTTCTCTAGTAAATCTCGTGAATAGTTTCCAAACACACTTGTTTGTTGGTTTATAAACATATTCTATCCAGTCTTTACTTTGCATGAGATTTTGTAAACATGTATGTACATATCGTAATGGCACCACCAGATTCAAAAATTAGTTTCTAGAAACTGTTGAAGAAAAATATAATCCCGAAAGCGCAATTTCTACATTTCAATGCCGTTTCTTCTGTCTTCCTCAACTGCAAGAATGTCATTGTCTCTGCTTTGCACGTTTTCAACTTTATATAATATATCGTGACAGAGAGGACATCGATCTTGAACATACAGCCACTTTCGCAAGCATACACCGTGAAAATAATGATTGCACTGTGTGATCTTGGCGCTTTGCATTTCCTGATAGCAAATTGCGCAAACATCGTCGAGTTGTTCAAGCTGATCGGCATTCGCTTCCGGTAAAGAGTTGATCTTGTTCACAGCCGTGCGCCGCTTCATGAACACCCTCCATCCGGCCTTCGCTTCGCACCAGATGTTAAAATAAGCATGTATACACATCATGATGGCACGAATAGCTCCACCAGATTCGAAGACTAATATCCAGAAACCGTTGAAGAATAGTATAATGCCAAAAGCAAATTCTACAGTGTTGCCAAATGATCTTATAATGTATACACAATCATCAAATTGTTCCCAGAATGCACTTCTATACGCGTCGATCAGAAAGAGCGAATAAATTGCCAGCGAGACCAATACCTTGACTATTACTTCGATGCTGAAAACCGATACGGCCAATAACCACGTGCTCACCGTAAAGTGAGACCAGAGAAATATAAGTAATGATACGGGAAAAAATATTAGAAAGGCACAAACTGCCAAAGCCCGCAAATGCCTATGTAGTGCCGGGTTATGAGAAGCACTGAGCGACATCAAAAGTGGATTCACTATATTGTGCACAAAATGTAAAATTGCCGTAAACAATAGGCAAAAATTACGATACAATCGTACTAAACGTTTTTCTCTATCAAGACTTGTCAATCCAGTCTGCAGAGCAAGAATGTAGAACAATATAGCGGATACTGTGCCAATACTCTTCTCATCCTCATCTTCTGTCAGCAGCACCCATTGGAAGAAACAGCCGATATAGTGGCAGATGAACGAAATTATGCTGGTCATACCGAGAACAGCTGTCAAAGTTTCGCAACCATTTACCAATAGTGTCCTGACCATGACGTAATAATTAAATGTTTCTTCGCCATAGTGATTTCCAAGGATTTGGATAACCTGTTCTCCCATTCGTAACATCCAAAATGTACGAAGCACGCATGGTACGTTCAGACGCATCCATTCTGTTTCCGCAAGAGCGGATAAACCATAATTGATTATGAAGTTGTGTGCATGCCGATAGCCCATGTAGATTGTTCTTAATATAGAGATGCCATTATACCAGATGATAAATTTGCACACAGCTAATGGAATCAACGTCGCACATACTGGCGCATGATATAAATATTGTACCTAGAAAAAAAATATACACATTTGTATTAACAGAGCAAAAGTACTTTTTTCCTTCCATTGAAAAAAAAATGACAGTATAAGAAATTTATTATGACATCAGCAATAAAAAATTTCTCCAATATTTCGGAAGCTTACCGGTAAGGGATGAATGCCCAAAATGGATGGTGACATAAAACTTAGTACAAGCAGTTTTTGTACCACAGGATGTCTTGGGGCAAGATGAATGTAACAAAAGATACTGGCTAATAGGCATTGCAGTATATAGTTCTGAATAATCAGTAAACCTGGACCATTATACAGAACGTCTGATAAATTCAGGGATAATATATTGTCAAGTATGCTGATTGCAGGTTCATGTGAATTCATGTAAGCTATAATTGCTTTCATTGTACTAACATTTGACCAATATGATACAAATATTACCCCAACAGATATTAAATATAGGTATACAATTATTAAATGCCTAGTACATAACATAAATGTGTATAAAGCTACAAGGCATCCTGAAAAAAATGATAAAACTGTGAGATATAATTTATTTTAAATTTCTTTTTTGTTTCTGAGCAGTTTAAGCTGCAATCATAAATTTACATCTATGCAATGAAAAATTTTATTGCACAAAACAGCAACAATTATCTAAAAGATCTCTATAAAGCTTTATATAAAAAATTATATTTAAAAAATGTGCAAAGATAAGTCATATTTTTATCAGATATTTTATCAGCCAAATAGTCAGAGATAAAATTATATAGAAATATAAGGCAAAAAAAGTATTTCATTTATTAATTTTTTCATTTATTAAGTTTTATTAAATTTTTGAGAAAAACATTGTTTATATATGAAAACACTTGCCATCATACACAAAGTAACTGTAAATTTACTGACCACAGCTTTGATTCTCATTAAAAAAAAATATCTAATTTATAAAAATTGTATAAAGATATGTTACTCACCCAGACAACAGGATAAAAATTTGAATATGATTATCAAATAAGTTTTGTAAGTAAAGCGAGTTAAGTCAAACTGGTCCATCAAGAACGCGTCTGTCGTAACTGCAGAAATGGTATTAACAATTGTGCCTACATTGGTAGTTTTGAAACCATTTTCAGTACTGTCCAGTACAATATTATCATTAGGTAATCCAAGACCGATTCTGAGTAACTCATCAATAATAAATAAAGGTGGCACTCTCATTATAACATCAGCAAAGCTGAGGATCCTTTCTCGCAATGAAGTCTCCATTTTGTTAATGCTGTTCAAGAAAAACGTTCGAGGAAGACACGAATGAAAATTATATTATAAAAAGATATTTTTTGAAAAAAATATTTATTATCGATTTTCTTCAAACTTAATATTTTATATGTTAATGCACACAGACACACATAAAATCAGAATCTGTCTAAAAAAAATTTATCTCCACATTAAATTAAATCTTTGATACTTTTTTTTGTATGAGATAGCATCTGTCAAAAAATACTACATATATATTGCATCAATCGGTAAAAACATAACAATGTATCCCTGATTAGTTTAATTTACAAAATTAATTTTATTATATGTACATTGTTAATATTATTGATTGATTTTAAAAAATAAAGATCTTATATCTTGTTGATTATATTATTATTGACATTATGACATATATATAGGGGGAGATTCTTATATATATATATAAAATTAAAATAATTTAATGCCAATTTCAAAATTTACTATGCGTCAAATATTTGCTACACATGTTTTAGCTCAATGTAAAAACTAACAATAATATTGTTAAAGATTATGAGTATAATATTGATATAGCTTTAATAAAAAAAAGATATTTCTTTTGTGTGATTATGTAATAAAGATACACAAATGTTTTAATCAGTAAAGCAAAATATAACAACATCACATTTCAAAAGATGGAACAGAAAATCGTTTAATTTTTTCACTGAAGATATTACATACAATATTGTATAATCACATCAAAAGTAGCAGCAAACAAAACATGTAAATGTAAATAATTCTAATGGTAATCATAACCTAAATAACATTTTTCAAAATCGAAATTCTCGACACAATAAATATGAGCTTTCAAAGTTCAATACGATATGCCCGAAAATTTAAAGGAAAAATTGTTTTTTCTGACAAAAGTAATACAAACTATTTTTTTTGGCGAGGATCGATCAAGGATAAAAATTTACGTGAGGGTCAACAAAGAAAGAACTCACCGAACGGCGAAAAACATCGAGGAAGAAAACAGATTCACAGGTCACATTTCGTAATGGTACACTTGACCGCAATGACTTGACGAACATTTATGAGTGACTTTGAATAACTCGAATCGCAAATCGAAACGCGAGGCACGCACATCCTAGCATTCACCATATCTCGTTCTTTGTGACGTTTCACGACGCCATCGTCCGGCCATTATTCGTCGCGTTTCACCTGTACTTTTATCAGCTGTGAGAACGTCAGAAGCCGCGACTTTTAAAAGAGGAGGGGTTTTGGCAACTATTTTGGAAAACAAGATTATAAAAGAAAGAAAAAAAAGAAAATTATAAAAAAAGGAATGATTTGGCATGACAAAACGATAACGCGATTACTTTATTTAATTATATACGAAATTTTTTTTAATATTTTTTGTTAAATGTGTTAGGGAACTACATAAAATAAAAATATAATTTGTACAGTAAAATTTATTGTTTTCCTCTGGTGTTATATAGTAGTACTTTAATTTACATCGATGACATGTCTCGTACCGTCGATGTCTATTTTCGCGTCCACGTTCCATTTTTTTTTTTTTTTTCTTCCTTACATAAGATCGATGATCGTATGTCTTTTTAGGTATGCACGCGAAAAAATTCGTTCATTGCTTCTTGTGCAACACAGAATGAAGAGAGTATGAAGAGAGTATGAAGAGAGACTCGATTATTATTCGCTATAAAAAAAAAACCTTACATCCGTGTTATCATATCCGTGATCGTATTAATAAAAATATAGAGCTTTAATCTCTTCTGTTAGAGTACTACAACGGCTCTTATTATCACATCAAGACCTCGCGTACCAAAAAGATTCTGTTATATTCAGCATCGATAAACGTTAATTGAAATTGTCTCGTACAGATGAAATAATAATTTTTATAGCTTAGCAATTTTCTCAAAGAAAAAAAATTTGTTCTTTTATTCTTTTTTATTACTTTCCGTTAATAAATTTTAAATTTTGCGTGGAGGTTCGCCGCTCAGGAAAAAAGACCATATATAATCACAAATGTAAGCATACATAATTATTGTATATAAAATATATCCATATATGTTTTCTCTCTTGTATAATTTTTTCATATGTACTTACAGGATTGGAAAATATTTTGAAGAATAATTTTTGCATTGTTTTTTTAGAAAGTTTCTCTTTTCAGGTTTACTTTTTCTTCAAAGAAAAAAAAACAATGCAGAAATTATTCTTTTAATGTACAAATGTGCAGAGATACAAGAGAAAAAAATATATATATGTTTTTTATATATAATTATAAAGATCTACATCTGATTATATATGGACTTCCTTTCTCGAGCAGCCCCTTTTTTCGGAACGCTTTATCTTGTCTTTAAGACTGCCCGTCGCAATATTATGTCATTTTAATCGCTTAACAAATTCAGTAATTTATATATAGTCAAGCATCACAGGCATCGCGCTATCTACCTTGTCAAATCGATTGAATCATTACATTTTGTAAATCTATATATAGCAATTAATCAAATAAAAGAAAAGGTAAATAACGAAGTGTCTGTGTAAAACACATTTATAATAATTTATAATAATGTATCGATAGATGCAAATTATTATCACATTTAAAAAAATAAAACTGCGTTTCGTCCGAGTACAAAATAAACTTTTCGCGATTTTACTGTATATCTTACATCTTACTGCGACATGTTACAAATTATACAATTTTGTATGTTTGTGAATGTGTCTCATACACACTTCCAATATTTTCGTAATATCATATACTTATATATTTCATTCATTCCAAGGAATTAAAACACTGAATTACAAAAAAAAATTAAATTGTAACGAAAGAGAATAGAAAAAAAAAAAAAAAAAAAAAAAAAAAAAAAAAAAAAAAAAAAACGTAATAATACGCAATTTATTGGCTCTAGAAGTCGGCGCACAGGATGTCCGAAGTATCTTTGATTATAACTTACTGGTACTTATGTGAAATCGTTTAAATAATAGCATAAATACATAATAAAAAGTTAAAAAACACACACATAGAATGCATAATTTAAAACGAGAATTTTCATTAATGTATAAATCACTAATATTATGCAGATTTCTCGACAAATTATTAACAATTAAAATCGCGTTTCTTATAAATTTGATTGGATAAATTTTAGGTATAACTCTGCTGATGCATATTCTCTCTTTAAAGAACTATCTATATTCGCTCTTATCAAAAATTAAGAGATCCTGAAAATTTGTTCAGTATTGAGAATTATTTGTATATATATATCAAACTTATTAATTTTAAACTTTGATCATTCCTATAGTTTGGTGATCACCGAAGCAGGTTTTTAATGAAGAAGCTTTTGCGTTACTTTTAACATAGAAAATTACATTTTGTGTGCATATATATATATATATATTTTTTCATTGTATTTCAATTTTGTTCCTATAAATCTGTAATTTTATTCTTACATTATTATGAAGCTGTTTTTTCGTACTATATAATTTATTTTAGAAATAGATTTATGTATGCTATCACAATTTTTATATTTAAAACTCACACGCAAATGTTTTTGGTCATATGTAATACAATATTCATCTTTGCAAAAAAATATCCATAATTTTTCCATTTTTAAATTCTTTTTACAAATATATTCTTTCTATACATTCTCGTAATATGAGCGCAAATAATATTGGAAAATTATAATATCGATTACGAAGCATAATTTAATAGCATAGCAATTTATTGAAACTTCTGGCTTATGTATCGCGATTGTTCTTAAACAACTGATATTAAAAATTTAAATAGTTTATATATGTATATCAATTAATTTTTATGGATATTTCTATTTTTTTATCATTAGCGCTATTTATTGTATTACTTTGTTCAACTGTTTGTGTATATTACATTTTGCATTAATATCATACCATATATTTTGTGTAAATTTTAACATTACATTTTGATAAAACTTTAGAATATAATAAATAATCGTAGTCATGTAATTGGTTAATATACTAAAAAAAAATTAAATAATTAAAAATTTAATGTGTGAGTTTTCAATATAAACACTCTAGTTTTATATTTTTGAATATTTATCAAAGTTATATTATGCTGGTGTGTATATTATTCAGCAAATATATATTTTATTTATATAAACTCTGCAAGCCCAGCTTACCATCATCAAATGCACTTTTAGGTTTATTTTATCCATGTATGAAATATGCTGCCTTATATCTGTAGGAGAGTATAAGAGTGTCAATAAATTATTAATAAGAAAGATTAGAAAAAATCTGTATTCCATATCTATTCGATTTCCATTTACTCCCGATCGGGCAATTTTAGAAAATGACAATTGATATACATTGTTTTAAATCGGCGCCACACACTTATTGCTCGATACATTTAATGCAGCAACATTTAGCTTTTTTTAGATATATAATGGGAGGAAAGCTCGATTACTTTCCATTATTATTTTTGACTCGTATTGGCGACTGAGACAAACGATTTATGTATAAGAGTAATAAACTAACTTGAAAATAGGCCTATATATGTTTTTAGCATGTGGTGATATTAAAATGTAGATATACATATATATATATATAATTTAGACAAATTAGTGTAACGAAATCGTCTTGCTGGTCATGGTAACTGTATTGGCGACGATCATTATTTCGATTTTGTAAGCAAAACTATTGGTAAATATCATTTATTCTTCATTTTCGTAACTTCAAGATCACACTCAGTTCGATTATTAATTGCAAAGCGAAAGGAAACTTCAGCGCAGTTGTGGCATATTTTCTGTTTACAGTTAACTGGTGCCGTGTATGTGTGACAATATAAAAAATTAGAATATTACAATAATTACAGATTAATCTCGTTGGCACGACTGATCTCTCGTTTTTCTCGCGCTAGTTAGGCATTTAATTAAGAAAAACTTAATACTTTATACCACATATTCGTATTGATCATACATAAACGAGCCAGCAAGCAACTCGTAATTCATTCTCGCTCTACTCACGTCGCTGTTCACCAATGCGATAATCAAACACTCTGGTCTACAGTGATCACATATAGACTGCACCGTATAATGGCACATTTTCTATAATACAAGCAAAAAATTACTAATTATTAGTTATTTATAAATCATATATTAACTGCCAACACGAGTCTGTAAATTGGATGAATCACATATTCTGCCAAATGCGTACGTCTCTTTTATCTGCAAATATATTTGAGCCAGCGAACTCGATAGCCTGGAGAGTTATGCGTATAATCCCGTGTTTGCATCTCTTTTCAATATGCACAATATGTGCGCGACAAAGTATGAGGTGCAATCCTGTATGTCTATGTGTATATAGCATGTATGAATGTGAGCTGCGTGGACGGCGCTACGTACACCACTCCTCGGTCAGTCAACCACTGACAGACTAGCAGTCGACTATCGTCAGTATTATTCGGACACCCGTGGTTGCATTGGGAGCTTTCATCAGTTCAACGTGCCTAGCTCACGTTAATATGTACCGTTGTATAATCTATAATAGAAGATAGCTGATTAGAGTCAAATTAGAATCAAATCGGACATGGTAAAATAATAGACACCCTGCCATTGTTAATATTCAAATTCTCGACGTACTTGCATACAGATGTGCTAGAGTTTGTCTTGGAATAGGAAGAGATTGTTCGTAGCAGCGACAGCCACCACATTTTCAGATGGATGCCATGCAGTGTGAAGTATTTTCTTATTGAAGTCCAGACAGTCAACACTAATCTCATCCTTCTTGCGCTTACCACCAGTACATACCTATATCGCATGTGAATGTAAATCCTCGAGTGTGTACAAGTCCTTATGAATAAAACAAGATCTTATAAATATACTAACCTTTCTCGGCTTCAGGAGCGTTTTTGGTTTGGCAATGTCGCGGGCTGCCTCTAAGGTAAGATCGCGTTTAGTCGTACGATCGAATACTCTAAAGAAATTGTTGTACGAGCCCGTCATGATAGACGAGTCATTACCACTCCAACAACATTCAAACTTGTCGAAGATGCAGTCATTTTCGTATAATGAACATAATTTTGATCTTAAGTATTCATGTACCTATTGTAACAAAATTATATCAATGAACATGCACATAGGAATTATCGCTCTCCTTATAAATATCACAAACTTACGGGATAGCATTCGATCGGTTTTGTCTCCATTTGCAAATCCCACACTTTCACACTGAGGTAGTCTCTACTAATCATGTATCTTCCAGAATTACTGAGTTTTACATCACTTATGCTTGAAATAATTTCCGAGAAAAAGCTTCTATTGGTTGGATCTTCTGGCTCCTCAAAGAGCTTGCTATGCTGATCGCAAAGAGCAGCGGATCTCATATCGCAAAGTCTAATAGTTCCCTTGCTACTACTGTATACCAATACATTGCATTCTGCAGGATGAAATTCCGCTGCAGTTATGACTTCTGTTAATTCTTCCATATTAGTTGGTTTAATGTCTACTATATCTGTGTGCTATGGTTAAGAAAATTTTATCTTGTATTCCATTATAGAAAATATATTGAAATACTAAATACACACATACACGTATATATATATATACACGTGTTTAAAGAAAGGATACTAAAACTCTGGTCAGTTATCTCAAGGTGCCAAAGATTAATTCTAAGATCATCAGCACTGAGGTATGTCTCTTGATCACTGTTGACACTTATACTGTTTATGTGGTAGGTGTGCGCATTGGCAAATATTCTCCTTGGTGATGCCTCCACCATCAACTCCATTGGTTTTATGGTTGGCACCTATATGTATATATAACATAACAAAAAATTACTTTTATTTGTCTATCCGCAGTATACATGCATAAATAATTATTAATACAATTAACTCGAAATATATTTACCCTCAAGGCAGTGATGCAGGCAGGATCACGGATCGCACCATTTTCCTCCTTAGTATTATACCCCTCTACTCTTTTATCTCTCTCACTAACTTTCCATAACTTGATTGTTTTATCATTTGTGGAAAGTAAAAAGTGGGCAGGGTTTTTTCTTTTTAGCCATCTAATTTTATTAATTTTTTCTTCTATCTCTAGTGATTTTAGGTAATCAAATTCAGGCTCATGGCTTTGGAAGGTGCTATACACGTTGTATTCGCCTCTTCGTGGTATACTGTTTTTACTCTATATAAATAATTATTGTTTGTTCAGTTTATTATTTTAACAGCAGGTATTTTATCTAATAGATTCAATTATAATGTTTTAAATATCATGCTGGAATATTTGACAGTCTAATTTTGTAATATTCATTTAAAATAATTCAAATATCAGGCTTGAGAAAAAGTTTATAATTAATATCTTGCAATATATCCATCTAACCACTTTATCAATGTCATCTTACAAGCTCAAACGATAGTGTGTACCTTTAATAGGCTTACTGAAGAGCTATTTCGACTCAATAGAAGATAGCAGAGATACCAGATTACTAAATGTTACATAAGCTTTATGAGGATGGTACAAATACTCGTGTCTAGCATTGACTTACAAATATTGAGATAATACAAGACCTTGATATAAATATATCAATAATATTTTTTCTTGTAATCAAATACATCATCAATATGGAATACATTCTATTATAGTTAATATCAATGTATAATATATTAATTAACATATACATATATTAATTTGTTATTTGAATTATTTAAATGAAAAATAATAACTAAATAAAAAATATACTTATATAAAAAAAACAAAAAAATTACATCTATTTATTAAATTTCACAATAAATTGCACTTACAATGGGGTCTCTTTGAAAAATGACAACACGTCCACCCTTATCCCCTGTTGCAAGAAGATCGCCATCATGGTTAAATTCGACGCACGAGATTATATCAGCTGTAATAAAAATATAAACCTTGTATATATAAACAGTTTCTATACAACGCATAACAAAACTTTGTGCGATTATATGTAAGCATATATCAATTAATAGAGAGAATAAAAATATGAGCAAATCAAGATAAATTTTGGATCTCAATAACATATGCAAAGCTCTGATTCGTAATTAATTCTTTGCTTTATTTTGGTATATGTGTAAACTGATAAGATAAAAGACAGTCTGCTTCTTGAGTTAAGCAAACACAGGTCATACTTGCCTTCTGTAACATCGTCTTCTAAAGTCCCCTTGACTTGCGAGAAACACCACTGTATGTCACCATTGCCTGTAATAAAATATCAAAAGATTTTAAAATATCCAACTCTTTCTGCTTACTTGTTTCAGATATCAACGCATTAATGGATGTTTATGAAAAATATTTTTTACAATAGTTGATTAACATTTTATAAATATCTTAGTCAGAGACATCAGTGCATTTCAGTCTTTTGTCGCTAGTAACTTGTAAAGCTTGCAATACGTTATGACAGGCAAACAAAGGAAACGAAGAAAACAAAGAAAATGCGAGGGAACAGGATATGAAAAGATTTATACAATGCTTATACTATTCCAATTTGTTACTTTACAATAAAATATATATTAAAGCAACTTTTTGGACATAGTAAAATATATATTAACACAATACTTCTTTATATATATGACGCTTTAAATAAAATATACATTAAAGTAACAGTTCTTTGTATTATTTTTTTTTTTTTAAACAGACACATAGATTTGGTGCCTTTCTTTCTTTTTTTTTTTTTTAAGAAAATATTTCAACCATGCAATAATATTTTACTTTGTAATCTGATTTATGTAGAAGAATTTTTAATTTAAATATTATTCTCAAAATATAGTAAGCTATATATAGAATGTTTAGAATATTATTCTCAAAATAGTAAGTTATATATAGAATGTTTATATAGTCAACTCATACACAATCTACATAGAAAAAATAATTTAATTTATTAATGTTCTACTTCAATTATGTATCAAGGGATACAGTTTTTCCATCTATAAGATATAAAATAGTGCGACACTTGCCACAATACTCCAAATGTAAGATTTTCAATTCTTCTCACATGACTTAATAAAATTATGAATTATTATAAATATTAGAAATTATCAAAAATTATAATGTGTTATATATATTATTATATTATAAATTATAAAAAAACATCACAAAACAAAGAAAAAGAACAGTTTCTCGCTAGTGTCTCTCGTTATCCCACAAAAGCGAGTTAAATGAGATAAAGAGAAGAAAAATTCGCGCATAATAAAAATTGACGCGGATTAATTGAAGCGAAATATGGGGGAGAGAGAGTTAGTACGTATTCTCAATGAAGAGGAATAAAGCAAAATCGTCGTCCTGGTATCTAGTGCATCTCTGCGGCACCAAACACAAAAATATGACCAAAAAAAAAAAGAGAAAAAAGAAAAATGAAAAATTGCGGAATTAAAGCGGTGTTACATCAAAAGCTACCAGAGTAAAAGTACAAAATAAAAATACAAATAATATAGTCCCTCGTGTACTCGCGTTTCTTCGACCACCTTGGATCGAAAGACACACTATGATTGTGAGTTACACATTGCAGTCTAAGCGGCGAGGGAAGCGAGGGGGACGCGAGAACGAAGATGGCTGGCGGAGACGGAATCGTCCTCTCCTCCCGCGAAGATCTTTCGATACGGAATATACGGGGAGGAGAGAGTGTGTGATATGTGCAAAAAAAAAATAAAAAAACCACAGACGGGGAGGTGGTGAAAGTGAGCCTACTTGAAGTTTCGGCGTAATCCATCGTGTGTTTCTAGGCCGCCGCCGTCGCCGCCGCTGCTGTCGTCGCCGTCGCCGGCGACGAGCACGTAGAGGAGTATCTGGCGCCCCCTCCCCCCTGCCCTCCCCCTTCCCGCCCCGCCACGCGCACACGGGGAGAAGATCCCGAGAGTGTGTGCCCCGAAGGACGCGCTTTATTATTCGAGGAGAGAGTATATAGGCACCCGCGTCTCTCTCTCTCTCTCTCTCTCTCTAATCTGGGTCAAGGTTTGCCTTGAGCGAGGAGGCGACGCACGTCGTCGTCGTCGTCGGCGGCGCGGGTGGGTGTATAATGTACGTGTCTATATCTCACGCTGCCGGTTTTTTTTTTTTTTTTTTTTTCAAATCAGCAGGCTCTGATGAGAGCGGCTACTTACCGGCCATCTCTCGCACGCGCGCACACAACGAAGGGGGGATCTCGACAACACACGACACCAGGAGATCGAGAGGAGATTGTTCGCACGCGCGGGTTTACGTTTACTCCCGATGCGGGAGCGTACGCTCGAAGAGGGCACGGAAAGGCATGTAACGCGCGCACGCGGTACGTGGTTACGACGTGTGGGTGGTGGTGGTGGTGGTTTCGTTTGACGCGCACGCACACACACGCACACATACAAAGGGAGAAGAACACCTCTCTGTCACATTATTTTCCCGGTCGGACCGTTTTCGCATGTAAAACGCGCGCTCTCTCGGAATAACACGTCTCTCACTCTCGCAATGGCGGAAGTTCATAGGCGCGTATAACATCCGCACGCAACACGACGACTACACGGCGCGGCGTGACGTCACTGCGCAGCCCAGGTCGCTCGCTGTCTTCGGCGGTAACCACCATCTTACATGCGGCGCTTGGCCAACGAACGTACGGAGTCTGCGCGAAAGCGCGGGCCGGACATGGACGAGAATGGCCGAGCGAGCGCGAATCGTCTGCGACGCGGCAAATTTGAATGTGTGCGTTAATTATTAGAGAGATGTCTGTTTCTTTGCAATAAATAGAATTGTTTATCACGATTATATGTCGCGTTGAATAGAAATAAGAATGTTCGATCTCTGGAAAAACGGAATTCTCAAGAATTCCTTTTATAAAAATCTAGAAAAAATCAGGGAATTCTCATGGAAGTTTATTGGAACTTAGGGAATTTTTTAATAAAAATTCTCTTTTTATGTGAATTGTGTGTGTTTAAAATATATTATAAATATATATCTATCTTTGTTTATGTATTCGATGTCTTAACAAAATATTGAATATGCGATACATACTCTTTATTTTAATTTTTAGTAATAAAAAAAAAAACTGAAAATTTATGCAAGTAAAAAATGTTTATCTTACGGAAGCAATTTTTTTCAATATGTTTGCAAATCTAGCACTTGAAACTTAAGTGGCTCTGTGTTTTTCCTTCGTATGAGTGAAGAGTATTTTGATTCGCGAATTTTGGGACATCTGGTATATCACTAATTTTATATTTATATTTTTTTACGTATTTTAACGAGATTATAAAGCAAAGAGAATTGAAAGCTAAAGAAACATTCGATTAGAATATGCAAAAAATGTTTTAAAATAATGCTTTCATAAAAAATGGTAACCGATGCAAATAAGTCAGTAAGACATAAGATGCGCAATATTTTTTTCCTTTTGTCATGGAGTGCATTTTAAGAGTCTTCTTGCATTCAGCAAAATGCGTCGTCAAATAATGACCCGTTGCACATTTACTCAAGACAATGTATCTGCAGTTTTTCTTACATTTTCTCGTCGCTACTTTAAAATCTGCGCGAGTTAAAAATCACATGTTTACAAATATAATCTTTTGAAGTTTTTCGCTCTTACGTTATTAATAATGCAATTTCAGATTTTATAAAAAAAGTTTTCAGTAAGAAAAAAATATATCTCGTGTATTGCTGAAAAAGAAAGAGAGAGAGAGAGAAATAGAATATTTTAAGATATTCCTTTCTAACTAATTGTAACTCAAACAAAGGCTTTTAATAATTACAACACAGCACAATTACAAAGAGAATGTGCATTATTCATATGCATATTAAATATTAAGATTATCTTCGGAGGAAAGATAATCTTGCAAAACGTTCTAATCTATGACATAAATTATATTCATTACATTTATAATCATTATCTCTAATCGTCATTACATTTTCTATAATATAATCGATTAAGGACAAGTCTTTAAATATGACTCTCTCAATACAAGGTATCTACTAAAATCTTGTAAAAAAGTTCCTTGATTTTCCAGAGTATTTTTGTTTAAAATTCCAGATAAAGAAAGGATATTTTAAAGATTTTTTGACATGCATTTTTTAAAAATAAGTTTTTTTATTATATGCGTTTTCTAATGCTTTTCACTCATACGAAAAAAAAAAACAGCCATTTCAGCCATGTCAAGTTCAAGTGCTAGGTTTGCAAATGTACTAACATTTTTTACTTGTATAATATTTTCATTTTTATAACACTAAAAGTTTCGATAAAGAATACGTACTGCATATTCAATATTTTGTTAAAATTTTGTTGAATATATACATAGAAATAGATCTATATTATAATATATTTTAAACACCTAATTCATTTGGCTTGCCGATTGCTTATAATACAAAAACAAAATTATCAAAGAGATAATTTTTTACAAAATTCCCCGAGTCTTAATATAAAATTCTATGAAAATTCCCTGATTATTTCAGATATAAAAAAATCCTTTAGAATTACAGGTTTTCCACGTTTTTCCTGGGAGTAGACACACTCTGAACAATAGATCTACTAACGTAATAACAAACAACATACTTCGAGATAGAGACAGTTTCGTAGAAATATATTGCACAAGGTATTTGCACCTGGTATCTGTTAGTATGTAAACACGAGATAAATATATGTTTTTATATAGTCGCTGATATATTTATTAATATACAAACATTAATATACAACTCTCCAAAAGATATTATCTCGATTATGAGGAGACTTGATCACGATTCCGAGCAAGCGCTTGTTATCGTGATGAGTTTTCGCGAATAATATTAAAGCATTTACCCAAAAGCTCCGTTAATTTGTCGTGCAACTCCTCGAGGGAGGAAAACAACGGCGTATTCCTTCGCAAGTGCGTGAGTGTCTTAGAAACGCGAATCTCCGATCGATTCATTCTCAACGCGAAAAAACCTGAAAGGCCGATTACCGTTTGCAGGTTCATCCACAAAACTTGAAAGCAGTTTATCGATTAATCAATTATAACGACTCGCGGCGCCCGGCAACTGATTTTTCACGAGTAAAATACCGTACGAGACTGTCTCTGAATGGTACCAGGTGTCATGAGCTCGTATGAGACACGGAGCTCTCTTTGCGGAGCATATTAGAGGCGCTCCGTTAATAAGTTTGCACTAACGAGATTGCATCTCCACTAGGATTCGGCACGCATGCAGCGATAATATTTCACACATTCGGAATAATGTAATAAAAAAGTTGAGATATCCTTGTCATAAGGACACAAATGCAAGCTATTGATTGCGTTTATTATTATTCATATTATTATAATTTGCATTTATAAAGTCGTTTTTAAATGTGAAAAATAATTATAAAAAAGTTTTTATAGGAAAATATAAGCGTCGACAAATTCTCAGTAAGTTTTCATAAAATCTTTCGCCATCATTATATGTCAGCGTTACTTGAAGGTAATAAAATGCAATGTATTAATAATTCTTTTCCGTGCCCGACACGCCGAATATAATTTTCGTTGAGAAAAAATTAGCCAAAGAATCTGTTATTAAAAGGATATCTGGTGGATTTTTGAAACACCCTACGTATGTGTGTGTGTATGTGTGTATATATATAAATTGTTTGTAGACATACACACATATACAATATAAAACTGTGGTCGAATAATTTGATAATCAATGTCATTTAAAAATTTATATACAATTAAGAACTTCTGCTATTATTTAAGAGAATTTAATTAAAAATAAACCCAATTGCTTGTCAATACACATAATGATAATTATCAGGAGAAGGAAGTTATATTTGGAGAGAGAGTTCTGTCCCCTTATACCGATTCAAATAACGTCAAAGCAAATGTTGCGACTGATCGTGAAAGTAAATCACTTGATATCAAGACGTTTGCAGAATAAATATCGTACGCATCGCGATTCTACAACATGCGTCCTGTCTTTTGAAAGTCTCTCGATTTTCCATCTTTAATACTCACGGAGATAATAGCGGTCAGCGCAATCGTTCGCGTCCTTTTCGCCCTTCTGTTTGTGTACCGTGCAACGAGCCATATTTTGGTTTATATCGACGACAACAGCTTTTCCCTTGACGACACGTATTCGAGCTGGCATATACATCCTCGTGTTAACAACTCCGCTTCGGCAACGCGATAATCGCGATAAACGTTTTTATAAATCTTTCTTTACCTTCAATTCTGATGAGCTTTCGCAGATTTTGCAGTACACACACATACACACACAACGTTGATCTCGAAAAAGATTGCTCTCTCTAATCGGCTGCCAAATACGAAAATTCTCCATCGAAATGTACACTCGACAGTCGGGTATACAAACTTTATTTATTTACGTTTTTACTAACGCCAAGTCGGGGGAAGAGAGATAGACAGAGAGACAGAGATAGAGAGAGAGAGAGAGAGAGAGATTTTCTTTGATATATTAGATATACTAGTTTATGTGTGTGTATAATAATGTATAATAGTGTAAATACATACAAAGTGGATTGACAAATATAGTGCAATTAAAAAAAAAGTAATTTGTTGTACAAAAATAAATTAAAAATATAGAAAATTTTTTTTTTGTACGAGGCGCTAGGTTCGAGAAAATGGATTGTGAAACAAAAATTAGTAATCTACATATTCATGCTTTTTTTAAACTTAAATGATCCTTAATAATCTTGCGTCATATCATCGTCAACTTCATCTAGATAATTACACATATATAAATAAATAGTATTTTATACAACATTTTATTTTTAACAAAACGATGTAAAATAATTTAAATGAGTTATAAAGTACCAAGATAAGTTTTGTGTGTTTATATATAAAATCAAAATCGCTTTATACAACGTGAAATTTAAGAATGATATGCCTTTGAAAGATTATTAATTATTCAAATTTATTAGAAATTTGTTTTACAATAGACACACACACACACACACACACACTCTCTCTCTCTCTCTCTCTCTCTCTCTCTCTCTCTCTCTCTCTCTCTACATAATTATTTCGTTATAGTTATTTAAAATTAAATTCATTATAGAAAGGCAGTTTTTATAATACAGGTTAAACAGGTTATTTTTTAGATTTAAAAACTAATCTTAGTTTTTAAATTTAAAAAATGATCCTATTTGTTCTATTTTATGACAAATATTCGATTCTCGCTTATTCGATGCGAGATGATGCGCCTGAAGAAGGGCTCGCCGTCTCAAAACAACGTATATACTTTTATATGTAAATAAGCGCGAGGGAAATCTCTAATCTCTACGCGTCATACGAAAAAGTGTGTGCATACGTGTTTCTTTAAAGTAGCTACTCAAAATTTGTAAAAAAGTTTACTGAGAATTCCCTAATTTTCCAGATATAGGATTAATAAATGTTGGTTGAAAAACCATTTATTTCGGAGTTATAAGTCATAAATTTTTTTTTACATGAAATTACAGTTTAAATAAGTTACAACTTATACAATTTTTTACATGAACTAATATAAATAATGTATCTTTCATTTATTTCGATAATACGACATGTACATTATCCTCGATTGCATCGACATATTTATTTCGATTATCGTTTATTTTGATTGTAATTTTTCAAAAGTGATGAAGTATTAATCTTGTGCATGTGTGTTATCCGAGAAATGGCTAATATTTACCCAAATTCTGAAATAACAAATGTGCACTTCATATATAGCGAAATAAATGACAATGTTGCACGAACAGCACGCTTGTATCAAGTTTATCCGAACAGCAGACAGCAGAAAAAGGTTTTTCTAAACTTCATCAATGTTTACACAACATTCAAAAAATTTAAGTCCAATTTATTTAACTATGGTAGAACACAATTCGCGTTAGTGTTTTTAAATGAGAAGAAAGAGTTTTCTAAAATATTGAATAGAATCTCAGAACATTTTGTCAAAAGAATGCGCTTTGTAAGAAGGTATAATGCTAAATAATTTAAAACATTCATTCTTTATATCAGTAAATTTTCAAACAAAAAGTATTTTTTATCAATTACTCCTTAATCGATAGTTAAAAGTTCCTATACAATATAGTTCTTATACAATATTTTATTTATTGATGAAACTCACCAGGAATGGGGAAAAATTAATAATTTTCACAATATTGATGTCTCATCTACTAAAAACCCTCATCCTATTTTAGAATCGTAACACATATTTTTGGTAAATATTTGCAAGGACTTCTGCTATAACAACTTATTTTTACTTTCTCACAAACAAATTATCAAAAGTTTTGGAAAATATTTCTCTATTAAGTTGATTATATAAATATATGATTTATGCACAGCGGAAACTCTACCTATTTTTTTTCATGATTATTGCATATTTAAAATCGTTTTGAAAAGTGAATAGGATATGTGCGATCTATTTGCATAGCCATTTCGTTTACCGTTTATCTAAATCCGTTTTGTGAAGATATATAAAGAATATAATGCATACCCAATAATTTAAAAAGCTAAGCTGTACGCCAATCATTTTATATTTTTATTAAATTAAAATAAAAGAATTAAAAATTGTTGTCAAAGTATATGAAATAAATCTGGAATATCTCTTTGAAGGTACTCGATCTTCAATACATGGCGTGCTGAATTATATATATCGAAATATATGAACGGAAAACATATTAAACAGCTGCTATAAATCAAAGTAATTTATATTATGAATAAATAGACTATATGCACCAATATTACTGCAAAGCAATTGACCGTCTCTTGATGTCATACTCGATTCAATATCCTTGAATCCTTTATTTTTTTTAGTTTATGTTATCTTTTTATATTATTGACTTGTAATTCCAAACTAAATAATTTTTGGATCAATATTTATTTTTGTATAAAAATTCATCTTCTCTTAAATTATATTATGTTTCTCATCTAACTCTGAATATATATATATGTATAATCATTTAATTTGTGAAGATCAATAAAGCAGATGATGAGTTGATACTACATAAATGTAGTTACGGACCTGAGCGCGCGAGTTCTACGTGATGTCATTGGCCACAACTTTAATCGCTTATAATTCAAAAACTATTGTGACTTCGACATTTTCATATTAAAATTTTCGACTCTATTTTATTTCCAGAATATTAAAATATTATAATAATGAGGCAGTGATACAGTGAGACAATCTATAAATATGTATTAATTCAAATATAAGTTTCAATTTTAATTTGAAAATTTTACATGAAATAAATTTTCAGAAAAATTAAAATTTCGCGCGCATCTGACATAAATTTGAAGGCAAAGATAAGATGTGACAGACTCACCGGCACGTTTGTTCACAGCTGTATTGATCATGGAACCGAGTTTCGTGAGGCTGGACTGCCTCATGATATTGGAGGGGCTCTTCATCCGTTTGGACGGTGGTATCGGAATCGGGGCGGTCTTGGCTCGTGCCAGGATGGCACTGCCGTTCCGGCAATTGCCGTTTGGACTTGAGCCGGGGGACCGCTGAAGCGGTGCCCCCCATAGACCCACCACACCGGCGTGACGCGTGGTGACACTTCGCTAATCTTAGCTTCCTGCCACCTGTTATCCTCGTGGCCGTTTCAGCTTCCACTTTCGTCACCTTGTCGTCGCTGAAAAATGAAATCTCTTTTGTTTTTTTTTTTCTCCAAGTGCTATCATTCGATTAAAATTTCGCGCGCATCTGACATAAATTTGAAGGCAAAGATAAGATGTGACAGACTCACCGGCACGTTTGTTCACAGCTGTATTGATCATGGAACCGAGTTTCGTGAGGCTGGACTGCCTCATGATATTGGAGGGGCTCTTCATCCGTTTGGACGGTGGTATCGGAATCGGGGCGGTCTTGGCTCGTGCCAGGATGGCACTGCCGTTCCGGCAATTGCCGTTTGGACTTGAGCCGGGGGACCGCTGAAGCGGTGCCCCCCATAGACCCACCACACCGGCGTGACGCGTGGTGACACTTCGCTAATCTTAGCTTCCTGCCACCTGTTATCCTCGTGGCCGTTTCAGCTTCCACTTTCGTCACCTTGTCGTCGCTGAAAAATGAAATCTCTTTTGTTTTTTTTTTCTCCAAGTGCTATCATTCGAATAATACAATTTAGAAAAAAAATTTCAAAAAAAAGAATAATCATTCTTTGTAATTTTTTTTATATTCAATATGATTTTAACTTCAAAAATATCCTACATATATCAAAAAGAATTTGTTGTAAAGATAAAAGTTAGTCAATATTTTTTCATGATCAAATATTGGATTTCTTATACCGTGGTAATTAATTATTTACTTTATGATTGCTATATTAGAAATGGAATAGATACTTTTTATCAATTTTAATATTGAATTCGTATTCAGTGATCTAAAAAACTCATATATACATATATACGTATGTATGTATAAAACAATGTTTTATAAAAATTCAAAATTTTTTTATTTTGATATCCGTCACATATTGATTTCCGTCACATACTTGATAAGAAAATAACATATATTATATAATTATATAAATCTATTCGCGTAACATGTTCTTAATTAATATTACGGCAATAAGGCACACACAATCATTTCAAATAAGAAGAATAGGTCTTATCAATTAATCAGATACAGATACGCGGGGTAAAAGTAAGGCATAATAGACCTTGACTAAACAATCACACAAGTGTAGTGCACACTTGCGAATACTTGTTCAATCGCGACATTCAATAACATTAATAGATCTAACATTGTTTCGTTCATTAATTCTCAAAGATGTACGTTTCGTATCGATTTTACACTATATTAAAAATCTAAATCTCAATAATATAATTGAATAATATTGAAAAATTGGCAAGATATTTATTTCTTCCCGCTAATCGAGACTATATATATAGTTTATACTTTATTTCTTCTCTTTAATCGCATTATATGAACAAATATCGTAGTTGGCTTCATGAAGCACTTTGCGCTGCAGTTATGATTCCTAATATAATGACACGTTTTGAAACCTATAATCTGCCATTACATGTGGCAGTAAGTGATATAATTTGTATAATATCGGATTATATATTGAAAGATCTACTTTGCGCTGCAGTTATGATTCCTAATATAATGACACGTTTTGAAACCTATAATCTGCCATTACATGTGGCAGTAAGTGATATAATTTGTATAATATCGGATTATATTGAAAGATCAGTGTAACAACATGCTATGGGCTACTTGTTATATCTATTTAAATCCATATGATAAGTGTGTACGACATTTGTGATCGACTAAAACTTATCGCACAGATGAATAACATGCATTTGACGACAAGAGGCCCTAACAGTATAATTAACAATCAGACTAATCAATTAATATAACAATGTTTGGTAATCAATCATAGAGAAAATACTTGAAGATATTCTCTTTTAAAAAGAGAGAGAGAGAGAGAGAAGTGATATTTAACGTAAGAATAAAGTGCTATTTGCTAGAGAAGAGAATAGGTCCAGAGATATTTAACACTAATCTGTGCTACCGGTGAATTTCATGGTTTAAGTGGCAAGGCCACTGTATGAGCTAATTTGCAAACGGATCATACTTATGCTTCATCGTCGTTCTCCATTTTAACAAAAGATAAAAGCAGATATTACAGTGCTTATTCAGGGTGTCTACTCAAATGTAAAAAAATTATCGAAGGGAAAGAATAGTTTTTATAAAATTAAATTTAAAAATTCCCTGAGTTCCAATGAAATTCCATGACAATTTTTTAATTTTTCCAGGTATAAGAAAAATTTCTGAGAATTTCAGATTCTCAATGTTTTCCAGAGAGTAGATTCTCTGTATTATTTTTAAAAGAGATCGTTGTCATATTGAGAATATTTTATTTTTGTCGTAGTAAAAATATGCAGTGAGACGTTGCGATTTATCATTCTGTTCAAAATTGGCGACATTGGCGACAAAACTTGCGATTCGGACGAATTATATTACATAATGAGAGTATCATACAAACGAAACGTAGCATATGGGATCGAGTATTGTCGAAATAAATAAATCTTTTTGCATACATTTAGCGTGACGAAGTATAAGCGATATCCGTTGAGGTATAATTAAATTTATCTTACAATTCCTACGGTACACTATATCGCCCCTTCCATACATCGCTCTATCTCTACGAATGAGGATACATTTGCACGTGCCAGCAATAAATTGTATAGTTGGACATTAAAATAGAATTTATTCTTTTCGGTATACATATATACCATTAATAACGGAGAAAAACGGATTTATAGAATTTTATATAAGTAATCATGTCTTGGTCACGATAGATTTGCATACTTTCGTTGTTTTCGTCGATTGAAGCTTTTCCGAATTTCACTCGTCGAAGACATTTTGGTTATAGATAAAACTTATCGAAACAGCATAGAAAAATATTTGATTAAATGTGACATAATGTATAATTATTAAATTTTTTCTTGTAATGTTTGTAAAAGCAGCTAAAAATGTTGATGTAAAAAAAAGACAGATTATAGAACGAGAAAAGCTATTTTTAGAAGTAATCTTTTCTCAAGATTTTCATCACACAGTTCGTATTCACGGCTTGCCAGCAATTTTCATTTATTAAACTGAAGCCACACATTCCACATCACATTCCTAATGTTCATCCCCATGCTGTCATCAACATTAAGTTATCCTTGTATTTGTGCTATTATTAATCTTATGAGAATCTATTATAAAATGGAATTATTTTTCACTGACCAAATATCATAATTAATATTGATGTAGCAATTAATTTCTTTAATTATACAGAAAATTATATGTAAAGTATTATAGCCAGGATAAATTTTAATGATAAATTTTTTAACAATATAAGGTTTAAAAGTAAATAAAATTAAGGCGGTTTAGCCATTATAAAACTGGATGCACGTATTGGTAATAGTAAAGTCAATGTTCAAAAGATTAGAAGAGGGTATTAGATTATCCTGATGAATCCCTATATACGTAGTTGCCTATGCTTTTATAAGACTTCGAACTTTTTTTACTATCTTTTTAAAGAATAGCATATTCAATTTTTTTTTTTTTAATTTCGCAAAGAATTCAAATTTTATTATCATTTATCGACGGTCTTCGTCTGGATTATCGTTATTGGATGATTTATTAGTTCATCAGAAATGCAAAAAGAGATGATTTACAATAATAATATCGCGTATATATCCATATACTCTTCCCGATGATACTTCCAATATCGTCTTTTTGTAGCCGTAATTAGATTTTAAATAAAATAAAATAAAATCCAAATGACAATTTTTCTGCAAATCATAAAAATAAAATAAAATTAAAGAATAATCAAAAATTAAATAAAAAATTAATAAAAGACAATGCAATCTATTATCACAAATAAAAAGTTGCTTCGTCTTAAAAATATGATTGAACTCATTACACGTGTCATCAAACAAAGTCTTATCGATGAGCCATTAGAAAATATATCACGCTAACATTAATAGCCTATTAAAAATGTACATCACGGTGTCATTAATAGGCAACGCCCATCAAAAAGTATAGCGTGACAACGTAAATAGCTTGTTCCGGCTATATCAAGGTTCTGCTGACGATCATGAGCTTTTTGCGAAATTGTACATAGATTTGCCATTCTCTTTGGACTTTCTTCCGGAAAGGACACGAAAGAAATTGCCACGAGGCGATCACCCTGTAGACACCTGCATTCTTTTTCTTGCAGGTGTCTTTATTTTGCGTTGTTGATGTTAAGGCCAGCACTTTGGTATACATAGACACGCGCATCAACGTTGTCAGCAAACTACATAATACAATCGCCTTGCGCAATATCGCTGACCTAGATAGTTGAGATGATAGGTACTTAGGTTGGCAGTGTCTCGTTCGGTTGACCCCGCCGAATTGCTTACTTAAAGTTTGTACTTTTTCTAGATTTGTGTGTGTCAACAATTTATAAAAAAAAAAAAAACAAAGCATGTGCATAAAAAAATAAGGCGTTAGCACGTTTGCAAGGCAAATCGTTGCGTGAAGTTTCATGGGGAAGATGCGCTACAACGCTATCAACCAGTTAATTGTAACAGTATTACGTCGCTTGGCAATTACTTTGTGGTTGGCCTAGATAATATGATGGACGCATGCAAGTATAATAATTGAATTGCAAAATGTCACGAAATTGCATACTACGAAATTGTACAAAAATCCTAGATTATGTATGTATACACAACTATCTCTAACTCTTCGTTACTGGATCGATCGCACACTCAAAAAAATGTCTTGCTGATATAGGTAGATTTCTAGGTGTCACAACAAAAATTTATCGCTATTTTTTGTATCTGTTAGAATATTGTCTGTTACATATAGAATTTATAGCAGCAATATTCTAATAATATCTTCTAGAAAATTTAGGTCCCATTGCCAAATGTTAATCACTGCATTGGATAAACATGAGTTTCGATACTACAGCTAGAACGATCTTTGCGAGAAATATAACTGCCAATTATAACTGCAGCATCGAAAAATTGAGAAAAATTGTTTAAAAGAGCTAGATAGATTGGGCGCGTTATACAAATATGTTAGATGTGAGGATTATATATTCATCTGTTTCTTGCTGCTAATTTTTTCTGTGTACCACAGCCAAACTTTATAACAAATATGATTGGCCTTAACATGGATAGACGCCACAGAAAAACATTCTTTCTAAATTTCACAAACAGTTCAGATATAAATTCTGTCTCTGTCACTTAGATTGATTAAATGCGAAACATATGCGATATCACAGTATTTGCTAATCATTTATGTACCTCAGTTAATTTTGCGCACCCAGAAAATTTTTGCTGTAGTTGCAAAACCACTTTTTTGAGTGCAATCTTAGATAGTACGAACTATTTCCGGTTCGCCAGCTTTGATGAAACACGCATCGTTAAATACTTCCGTTTTATAAAAAAGATTTCCCATCGATAAAATAAATCATATAATTATTCACCTTTCGACTTGCGCCTTTTCCTTTTTGCCTGTTATTCAGCGCATATATATATTCCTGTTACACATTTAAATTTATAAATTTCAAGGTGG